CGCCTCGGCCTCCCAGAGTGCTAGGATTACAGGCGTGAGCCACCGCGCCCGGCCTGCCCACAACTTTTAACATGTTGTATTTTAATTGTGATTTAATTTGAAATATTTTCCAATTTTCTTTGTTGATTTCTCCTTGACCCATACATTATTTTTTATTATATTATTTAATTTCCAAATATTCGGAGGTTTTCTCCAAGTATCTTACTGTTTTTGACTTCTAATTTACTTCTGTTGTGATCAGAGAACATACACATTCTATATTATTTAAATCATTTTAAATTCATTGAAACTGGTCTTATGTTCCAGCAAGTGATCTGTCTTGTTAAATGACTCAGATGAGCTTGAATGTGTACTCTGTATTGGTAGGTGTAGTGTTTTGTAAATATCAGATCAGGGAAGTTGATGGTGGTGTTCAGATCATCTATATCTTTACCACGTCTTTATATAAGAAATAGTTAAAGTATTACTGGAGAGTAGTTCCCCAGGGCCCTATTATGTGTTTTGCCCATTTAAGTATCTAAGATTACTTTCTCTTCATCCAAATACAGGAATCCTAAGGAACTCTGTCCTGTTGTTCAGCTAATTGGTTTGGCCCAGCTTTTCTGTTTCAATCATATAAATCTTGGGCCCTTTTCCTAATCTTTTAGTCTCATCTCATATCTACTAGGTATTAATAGCTCTGGTACCTAGTAATACACTTGCCATTTTTTTCCTTATTCTTTCGAAAGCCCTAACTTTCACCTGTTCAACATTGTATATCTTAACCATACCCATGTTTGGACTTGATTTGAATGTTGGCTTACACCTGAGGCCATTCTATTCCCATTCCAATTCTCTTTCCTGCCTACATTGTCCTGGAGCTCATTTTCTAATTTATTCCTGGGATATCACTTCTAAGGGAAATGATCATACTCAGAGAAGGTTATTCTTCAGTAAGCATTATTTGTCTTTAACATAACTGGTCCTCTATAAAAGTTGGTAAAATCAAATTGAATTGAAATTATGACAGTGGCATAGTAATCTCTCTCTTCTTTTATCTTTTACTTCCCTGTAAGTAAGCAGTGATGGGAAATAGACTGGAAATGAACTGAAAATGGAGATTAACTCACAGAAAAGAATTTTTCATTTTGTAAAGTTAGCAGACTGACCAAATAAAATGATTCTTCTAGAAATTTTTGAGTATGTATTAAAATTGACTAAATTTAGCAACAAGCAAATTGGAAGTTTTATAGCTACTCTGAGAATAAGAAAATGCTTAATTCAAAATTTAGGAATTATTAAAACAAATTATTTTTAATAGCTCCTATGAAAGAAGATACCACAGATGAAACATTTACTGAAGGAGAAGAATCATATTTAGAGGAAGAAGACACAGATATGGAAGGTTTGGAAGGAAGTTCAAGTTCATTTCAAGATGATGACTTGGAAATCACTAGATGTAAGTATTATTAGTTTTCTATCAGTAATTGCCACTGTTTTAAAGATAAATAGCCCAGATAAATTGAATGTTTTCAAATCCGTAGAAAGAGACATTTGCAGGATGTAGATATGTGGGAATGATAAAAGGAAAAGTGTTGCACATATTTTGGTAGGGTCATTTAGCAGCCCTGGAGTTATATATTCCATTTCTGAGAACCATGTGTAGAACTCTCAGACTCAATCTTCTGGGTTTTGAGAGGCCTAAGGAGTGCTCTACCCCAGATTAGTGAGAGTTCTCCAGCTCTCCCTTGGAACTGATTGGGAGTTGCTCTTTGAGACTGTTACAGCCGTGGACAGATCTCAGCATCCCCCCTGACAGGCATGTTGGTCCTTCCTCCCATGTTCATTGGTGGGTGGCATCCTATGTTCAGGCCAGTAGTGGTACTTACTGCTGGAGTATTGCAGGCTATGTACATTTCTCTTGTCTTTGGGAAATACAATTTTGGATTCACCAGACACTCTTCTTAGTTAAAATATTTTAATTTCTTAGTATCTCAGGAAACCCCTGCCCCAGCTGCAGAAAAAGCAGTGGAGGAAGTTAAGAAGAAAATATCAGAGAGCTTCTACTATGATTATACGGAACTTGCTTCAATGCCTTTTGTGACTCCAGATTCGAATATACCACTGGATCTTCTCACACTTGTGTATCCGCTCTAGCTAAATATGTGTAATTTGGGCATTCTAGTTTCTTAGGTAAGGGCTTGGCAAACTACACCCCATGGGCCAAATCTGCCCTCCCACCTGTTTTTGGAGATAAAGTTATACTGCAGCACAGCCGCATTCATCTGTTTACATTTTGTCTATTGCTGCCATCACACTACGAGGGCAGAGTTAAGTAGCTGTGACGGGACCATCTGGCTTACAAGGCCTGCAAGATTTACTACCTGTCCTTTGCAGAAAAAGTCTGCCAAGCCCTGTCTTGGGTAATTCTAAGAAGCTTGGCCCTTAGAGAATTTGAGATAGAAATGTATGATCTTAATTTAAACTAAGCTTTCATTTGATGCCAAATAGCAATAAAGAGAAATGATATTTTCTGGCTTTCCTTTGCACAAGTGGAAAAGGCTGCAGTTCATGAGACATGAAGCGAAGTCGACCAGGAGGCTTCTTATTCCCATTCAGCTCGTCTGCCAGCCTGGCTTTCCTTTGCCAATGCCTATCAGGTTAAATCATTGATTTCCCTTCTTGAAGTACTGATGTGGCCATTGTCAGGCATTAGTACTTTCACATTATATATTAGATGAGTTATCAGAGAAGTGACCCTGAGGAAGCAGGGTACAAAATAGCATATTTTAATGGGTCTGGAGAATAAAAGTCTATGAAGATATGTAAAACTGGGGATGACTGACAAAGCGATTTAGTGTTTGTCGTCACTTTGTGATGTTGGCTTTGTGGAGCGGGTAGAATATGGTTTCCTTTGAGGTGCTTCGCTAGTAATTTAGTATACTTGCCTTTGGACAGGTAATGGTACACTCCCTGACTTAGTTTTGCTTTTTACATAAAAGTAGAACATGTTGTTAAATCCCAAGTGTAACTCAACTAATTCACCCTGAATCATCTTGTAACCTGGAATTTTCTCTCTTCAGGGCTTTGTTTTTTTTCTTTTTTTGGTCTTTGGACAAGTTTCTGACGAAATTAATGCTGTTTGCTTGCTTTCTTTTAGTCTATTTTTTTTCAAATGGGGTGGGGGTGGTAGGGTTGGTATATCAGAGTCACCTGGAAGCTTTTCCTGAAGTACACAAGGCTCTGATACCTTCCTGAACCTACTGTGCTATTTCTGTGTGGAGACGGGCTTGGGCATATGTACTGTGATGAAGCTTCCCAGGTGGTTTTGCACCTGCTGCCTTCTCCCAGCCCCCAGAGCTGGGAACCCACTGCTCCAGGATAGGAGGGTCTTTTTTAGAGAGACATGCCTAGACTCTAAATAGCAAAGTCAGAAGGACCTCAACTTTTATTCCAATGTATGAATATTCTCTGCTCATTCTGGACTAGTGGCTATATAAGCTATATAGCCTTTTCTTGAACACTTTCAACATCATGGAAATCACAAAGTAGTTTATCCCATTTTTGGACAGCTTGCATTATTAGAGAGCTCTTTGAGGCCTTGAATCAAAGTCTGTCTTCTCTGGGAGGGCCCCCATTGGACTTAGTTCTACTCTCTGGAGATGGAACAAATATAATCTTTATATGTTGTAAGAAATTCTAAGTAGTCAGTTGTCATGTATCCCCTAAATCCCCTAAGTACTCTTTTAATTAACCTTTTAATAATTATATTGATTCTATTTCAGTTTTAAAACTTGCGTCTTCTAAATCAATTTATTTTAGCAAGAAATGTACCACTTATAAAATATCACCTAAGCTATGGCATAACTTATAAGAGACAATAAATAGAACTTAACACAGTGTTTAAATAATTTTAAAGTAGAGGCCCTAGATGGGCATGAATAAACGAAGGCCCTGAGCCTCTGGCAGGAAGTTAAGAAGAGGCAAGGCAGAAGAGAGGGTGAGACGAGACAAAAGAGAGTTGAAGGTAGATCAAAATACATTTTCGAAACTCTGCTAATTGCTGCTGTCCTCTGGGGTTGGAAAGAAAGGATTGGATTCTATTATAGTTATTAATTAATTAATTAAACAGACATTTATTGAATACCTAATAGGCTCAAGACACTGTGTGCTAGGCATTGTGGGAAATAAAGATAGCGAGAAGCAGTCTCTGCCCTCAAGTGGGTTGTAATTTAGACAGGGAGGATTTGAGAAGTTACAAATCTCAGGAATTCTGGGTTTGAGAGGGACTTTGATCAGAGCAGTAACATGTAAGAGGGAGTTTTCCCCTGAAATTCGAGATGATGATGTTAGATAAATGAGAATATCTCTGATTCCTAACTTTCAACCAAGTTAGTGAAGACATGATAACCCACTTCTACTCTCATAGTTACTGACACACTTTTAGCCTTCTGAAGTATTATATCTGCACCTGGGAAGAGAAAAAGAAAGGAAAGAAGCAAGAAGGAAAGGTGAAAGCACTGCTTTGAAGAAAAGGAAAAAGAGGGTAGGCAAAACTTCCTGCCCCACGAAGGCTCTGTAAAGATCCGGAGATCTTTTTCCAGATCCAACACTTTATTTGTTCTGTGGCTCAGGAGATATTCTCCTTGAGGCCTAAATAGCTTAATTTAGATCTTTGGATCACATATTTATTCACATTTCTATATAAGATTCAATTTTAGGCATTTCTCTCTCTATTAAATTTATAAAATTCCTTTTTCTTGAACAGATCAAATACCCTGAAATGCTTTCTCTCTCTCTTTCAGTTTAACTATTAGATAGTGAGATAGGCTAGGTATAGTTGGTGATAATTTGTTTGTATTTCACAATTCGAATTGCATTAATTTAAATATCTCTTCTTTTTTACATTGTACATTTTCTTCTTGTTAAAAGTTTCACGTAATTTCTTTCTCTGAAAATTTTTACTTATAAGTAAGTGAAGTCCTCTAAAATCAGAACTTGCTTTTTAAACAAGGGCTCGGGCAATAAAAAGTTTTTCAGTGATACTTCACCTTTAGAGTTCAGCAGCAAATTCTTGTAAACAAAAAATCTGTCTGCCTAAGATACACTATGTATTTCTTTTGCCAGCTCTAATTTTTTTCATAGATGGATCTCATTCAACTGATTTATTACATTTATATCTTATGTATATAAATTGAACTTGACTATACTAATAATGTACATTTAAAGGGTGTTTATATAATTTAGACTTTTTTTATCTCTATTTTGAATTAGTGCAGTTTCACTCTATAACACGCATACACACACACTTGCCTACACATGCATATGTATATTAACAAACCCCGAAAAGAAATGTTAGTCTATAAACTACATGTATATTTATATACTATATATTATATAGTATATATACCGTATATTATATGGTATATATACTGTATATACTTCTATATGATATATTACTTAATCAATTTTCATAATTTATATGAATTATTTCAATTATATTTACGTGACTTTATTATAGTAGGTATATTATTAAACGGTGTTTTAATATTTCACAAACATGTCAGAATTTTAAACATCTTATGTTTCAATGTCAAGGAAGAGGCCTACATATTTTTACTATGGTCAGTCAACAAACTTAACAGCCATTATGAATCCAAAGATGATGAAGATATGGACTTTCTCCCACATTATACAATGCAATTTTAGTTTCAGTGGGAGGGAGGAAAATGAAATTATTTAGGTGACAACTGTATTCTTTATGATACCCAAATAGAAGGCTTAACCTTATTTATTACTACAAGAACACTGTGCTTTCAGGATTTCCCTAGGAAAATTAAAATATTAGCTAAATCAGAGTATGAGGATTTTAACCTAGTTTAAAAACAAAATTGTTAGTAATACACAGAAAATTTATGAGTTTCATGGTAAAATTCAACTACTTCAACCTCAAAACTCTAAAAGTATGAATTTTAAAAATGTATTTATTTTATCACTTTTCCAATCCCTAGGATGGTTGGTTTTTTTTTTTTTTCCACTTGTTTTCCTTAGCAACTTTCCCTCAGGCATTCTTTCGGTTATGACTGCAGAAAGCGGGCCAACCTACAACTTCTGGACAGCAATACCGCACTGTACATAGCTGGGAACCAACTGATCCTTCTGAATTTGAAAACCAAGGAACAGACCTACCTGCAAAGTAGCAGTGGTGAAGGAATTGGTGTCATTGGGGTATGCCTTCAGGAAAAAATAAACTATCATTTTGATTGTTCTGTGGGCCAGCCAATGGTGGTTGTTAGGTGCCAACACCATGCGTGGTATTATGGGATCACATAAGATGCACAGCTATCTTTATTCTAAGGCACTTTCAATTCAAATACTACAACCACTACATTTACCGACATTACCTCCATGCAATATTGTAATGTTATTATCCCATTTCGAAGATAAGGAAGCTGGGGCTTCTAGAGGTCAAGAGACTTCCCCACCATAACCATGCAGGTTCTTTCACAGATTAGAAGTGGAGGCGAGTGAGAAGTTTTAAAGATTCTTGATCTGAGAATTGAAACAGGCACATGGTGAAGGGAATGGAGAGGGGAGGAAAATATGAGACCCACAAGACGTAGAGAGAGGTTGACTGTGTAAACAGTGAGATGGCTGGAGTGAGAGATAATATCATGTTTGTTTCTTTCTTGATCATCCATCTCTATAGATGTGTACATGGTAAAAGTCCCTGTCCACAAAGAGTTTGTTATAAGACTAATAAGTTCAGCAAGAATTTATTATATAATATTGTGTGTCCAACACTACATAGAACATACAGTGAGGGATTTAAATGAAGATTTTATGACCTCTATGAATTCAAAGAGTTTAAAATCCATCTAAAGAGACAAATCCTATATTTAAAAAAAGAAAAATAAAAAAACTAGACACACAAGTACACAATAATGTGGCAATAGCTGTGTGTAGAAATGCATGGGCCAAATGTGAGAGTCCTGGGTTTTGTGGAGGGAAGGCAGGGCCCATGAGGTATCAGGAGCACTGAAGGCCACACCATCAGCAGAGGGCTAAGGAACATCAAATTGTCACATATTTAGTTATAACTTTGTGGCCAATGATGGCTTTAAAATTTCTATTTTTCTATAAAATAATTTGGGTTGAGGACAATAGTCAGAGGTGTAGTGTGGTCAAGAACGCTAGTCCTCATCCACCTGGATATTGAGCGGTTTTATGTCCACAAGGGCTTTTCTCCCCGTGAGCTGCAGCTGTTGGTGCCTAGAGTGACAGAGGTCCCTCCTCCACTGTCCACATCACCTACATCATCTCATCTTTTCTGAAACTGTTATCCTGTTGAGGATGAGAAATACTTTTACAAGGCTATGAGAAACCTGTGGGAAATGTGTTTTGGGCCTATAAATTATCTTCCAGAAAAGATATGGTGACTCTCTATGTTGAGTATAAAGCAAATGACTTACTAATTTCAGGTCTGTACTAAAAGTAAAACACCCAAACTCAACCCCACAGAAGCCTCCAGTATGAGAGGGCAGAAACTTTTTTACTTACTGTAGATAAGACCTAGAAAGGTAAAAGATTTTCCTGAATCTCCATTCAAACTTCTGTGACCACTTGTCCTACACCAGAGGTCCCCAACCTTTTTGGCACCAGGGACTGGTTTCATGGAAGACAATTTTTCCACGGACTGGGTGGTGGTGGGGAGGAGGCTGGTTTCAGGATGATTCAAGCACATTACATTTGTTGTGCAATCAAACCTTTCTGCTAATGATGATCTTTATTTGTGGCTGCTCCCCAGTGGTAGCATCACCGCCTCAGTCCACCTCAGACCATCAGGCATTAGATTCTCATAAGGAGCCGCAACCTAGATCCCTTGCATGCGTGGTTTGCAGTAGGTTTTGTGCTCCTATGAGATTCTAATGCTGCAGCTGATCTGACAGGAGGCAGAGCTTAAAGGTGATTCAAGTGATGGGGAGTGCCTGTAAATACAGGTAAAGCTTTGCTGGCTTGCCTGTTGCTCACCTCCTGCTGTGTGGCCTGGTTCCTAATAGGCCATGGACAAGTACAGGTCTGCGGCAGGGGGTTGGGGACTGTAGTCCTACACAATATTTCTGTATTAATGAGGATCGAGACAGATAGAGTCTTAATCCAGTTCCGCTTACCTCCTTGAGATCTACTGTTTGTTAGTACCATTTGCTTCTTGGCTCCAACACCTGGCTTGAATCCTATCTCTCCTACCACACTGCAGCTTGAAGACTGCAGACACATTACCTAAACTCTCTGTGCCTGTTTACTCATCAATAAGATGGGAAAAACTCTGTTATCCCAGCTCACAAAGTTGATGTGAAATTTAAAGGAATTAATGCATATAAAACCTAGATCAGTGTCTGGCACATAGTAAATGAGAGCTAGCTCTCAATAAATGCTAGCTATTTCAGGGTTACCATTATCTCCCTGAGTGTCCATTCTGTAACGCCAAGGCTATTTCAGGTTGAAGTGACAGGGATTTATTTGAATGGAAGGATAAGAGGCAGCTTGCCAGTAGGAAATCAGCCTATCCTAGGTCCTTTGGCCCCAAGAGTGGAGGGAAGGAAAAGAGCTACATTATCTCGGGTACCAGGATTTACAATCTATGTCTGAGAACCAAGCTCCTTTTCCTTAGGTATATAACCAGGAGTGGCACAATAGTATCTGAAAATAGAATTTTATGAGTACAATATGTGTTTTAAATAGCTTATTTTTATAACAGCCTATTTTTATTTTTATTTTTTGGCTATCCATTTACTCTCCCTGCATGTTTGGCTTACTAGGGAACAAAAATAACAGAAATGAATGTATGATTCTATCCAACTTACATGGCTATCATTTGAAATGTTGACACTAATAGTTTATTTGGAGCATATTTACTATATTTTCCTCTGTGTCTGGCTTGGAAATATTCTATCTTTTTCACTTCTAGTAAGTTTACATTCATCTGTGGTAAGTTTTTCCAGGGTGAAATTTTTTTAATTGGGATGTAACCTACTCTGGAAACATGGATTCCATATATTCTGTGAATTTTCCTTACAAAATTTAGATTGATTTATATGCAGGGTAAATAATTCTTCTCACTTAGTGCTTCTCAAAGCAAGGTCCCAGACCAGTAGCATCAACATCACCTTAGAACTTGGTAGAAATGCAAATGTAAATTCTCAAGTTCCAGCCTGACCTATTAAATTAGAAATTCTGGGGGTAGGGCTTGTGATCTGTGTTTTAATAAGTCCTTCAAGAGATTCGGATGCACACTAAAGATTGAGAACCATTATTCCAGCTCTTCTAATGGCAATTTAAAAAATTGTAGAATTAGAAATGACTGTCCTTAATAAAAATAAAACTTAAAATGAATATTCTTCTAGTTTTCAGTTTAAATCATATCCATCATCACGTTTTTTATCAAATTCTTATTTTTGAGTTTTCTATTGGAGTAGATCCCAATAAACAAAATATGAAATAATGGATACTAAATGCTCATTAGTAGGATTATTTATATTAAAATCTTTCTTTTAATATTTTAGTGGGATTTTATTTTTTGTAGGTTCATCCATATAAAACTCACTTCACAGTAGCTGAAAAAGGTAGTTGTCCAAAGATTATCGTCTATGAATATCCTTCTCTGAGGCCCTACAGAATCCTTCGAGGTGAGTCCAAAATAATCTTTAAGATATTCCATGTTCAAGGTTACAACATTCTGAAGAAGATACATTATTGAATCGTCAGAATTCTCCACAGAAACAGAAGTAGTGGAAGATAGAAAAGAAATTTATTTAACATAATTGGCTTGTGCAATTGTGGGGGCTGGCAAGTCTGAACTTCGTAGGTCAGGCTGGCAGGCTGGAAACTCTTCAGACGGAGTTGAGGCTGTAGTCTTCCGGCAGAATTTCTTCTTTTTCAAGGAAACCTCAGTTTTACTTTTAAGGCCTTTCAACTGATTGGATGAGGCCCACCTGGATCATCAAAGATAATCTCCTTTATTTAAAGTCAACTGATTGTAGATGTTAACCACATCCACAAAACACTTTCATAGCCAACATCTAGATTAGTGTTTAGTTGAATAACTGGATACTATAGTCTAGCCAAATTGACAAATAAAATTAACCATCACAATTATCTTACAATTCTGTTTTTCATATAATTAATTTCAGTAGTCAATTTTTATTCTTGGAGTTGAGTGGCAGATGTTAAATTGTAGGTTGATTTCTCTCTGCTATCTAATATGCTTTTGTATTTCTCCCCCACTTCATGAAATAGAATGTTGTCAAAGTGGTTTTCTCATCCAAATGTGATTTTAAAACTTCTTCACCCTCCCCCTTCATATTATATAATTCATTCTAAAACCAAGGGTGATGAATGATCTTGAATTGTTCCTGTAGGGAATTCTAATACATATCACCAAGGGCTGTCTTCCTCTCTGTTTTGTTTTTATAAGACATTTTTGAAAATGAAATGAATGTGCCCTTATTTATTAGACCCCCATTCATCCTTCCAGATGGGACTGAGAAGGCATATGCTTACGTGGACTTCAACAACAATGGTATCTTGTTGGCCTCTGTTGGTAGTAACCCTGATTACACACTGACCATCTGGAATTGGAAAGAAGAGCAACCCATACTGAGGACAAAAGCTTTTTCGCAGGAAGTTTTTAAGGTTACTTTCAATCCTGAAGACGAAGAGCAGCTTACTACATCGGGATCAGGCCACATCAAGTAGGTCGGGTGACCAACAGAGGTGCCAGTGGATATCGTTAAGACTGTTTTCTAAGATGTTCTAAGAGCTGGAGACATTTTTGCCATTGTTATTAACATTAGGATCATTTTAAAAAGTGTGTTATTTTTAAAACTAACTAGCAGTGCACCTTTTCTAATTTGATATGTGGGATTTTATTTCCAAAGACAGCATAGATAAAAGAAAAGCTTTTAAATTTAGCTTGCTGCCTTCTCATAGGCTTTACTTCCTAACAGTTGTATAGTATCTTAATAGCTAACATTGGCGTGGTGTTTCCAAATTCATATTGAGCTTTCACTTCCACTGTTAAATTTCTCGTTTGTAGCAACTCAATCTTCATCTGTAAAACAAGAATTGTCACAGTGTCATTCCTGACAAGAAACACTCAATACTAAATGGTGGCAAAGCCTACTCTTGATCTCAGGCCTCACTCCAAATCCCATGCTCTTTTCACGCTGTACCCTGGTTTATTTCAAGGGTGGAATGATTTTGTCCTTCTCTAGCTTTGCTCCACCTTGTCTCTTGCATTTGTTTAACAACCATCCACTGCCACCACCCCATGGCTGCCCATAACTTGAGTCCCAGTGTTTCCCTTTTTTTTTTTTTTTTCTTTTCTGAGACAGAATCTCACTCTGTCACCCAGGCTGGAGGGCAGTGGTCTGATCATAGCTCACTGCAGCGTCAAACTCCTAGGCTCAAGTGATACTCCTACCTCAGCCTCCTGAGTAAGCTAGGACTACAGGGACATGCTACCAGATCCAGCTAATTTCTAAGGATTTTTTTTTTTTGTAGAGACAGGGTCTTGCTATGTTTCCCAGGCTGGTCTCCCACTCCTGGCCTCAAGCAATCCTTCTGCTTCAGCCTCCCAAAGCAGTGGGATTACTGGTGTGAGCCACTGCGCCTGGCCCCCAGTATTTCTTTAAGAGAAAGACATTTTTATCTATCCTAAATTATTCTTGTACCAATTTAAATCTGGTCTTTGTATTATTCATTCATTAGTAATACAGAATAATTGAACAGATTTTTAATTGTAATTTGGAGGGAATTCTCAAGTAACCCTCTGCTAGCTATAGGCTAAAAATTTCCAATTCCTTTCATTTTCCTATCATTTAATAATATGTTTATGTTCTATTCACTGTATCTTTGGGGAAAGACAGATATTGAACAATTAATTTAACATGTGAATTGCTATAAAGAAACCCAGAGTATATGGAAACATATCATCAGAGGACCTACCATACCTTTGGAGAAGGATGTTGGTTGTCTAGGCTTTTGGCTTCATATTATTGGTTTGTTGATACCTTCTACTACCTATTTTCTACCTAGTTGGATAGGTCAAATTCTTTTTCTATATGGTCTTCATCATTCTGATTGTTCATTTGTTTTTTTTTTTGAGACAGAGTCTCACTCTTTTGCCCGGGCTAGAGTGAGTGCTGTGGCGTCATCCTAGCTCACAGCAACTTCAAACTCCTGGGCTCAAGCCATCCTTCTGCCTCAGCCTCCCGAGTAGCTGGGACTACAGGCATGCGCCACCATGCCCGGCTAATTTTTTCTATGTATTTTTAGTTGTCCGATTAATTTCTTTCTAATTTTTAGTAGAGGCGGGGTCTCGCTCTTGCTCAGGCTGGTCTCGAACTCCTGAGCTCAAACAATCCGCCCGCCTCGGCCTCCCAGAGAGCTAGGATTACAGGCGTGAGTCACCGTGCCCGGCCCTGATTGTTCATTTGTTTAGACTATTAATAAGAAAGTATTAGTAATAACTAATATTTCTTGATTTTTTTATGTGCTAGGTACTTTTCTAAGAGTTTTTCAATTTTATGAGTTAGGTTTTACTAATATTTTCATTTTATACCTGAGAAAATGAAGGCACAGTGTGATCAAGAAAATCACTGAAAGTCACAAAGCTAGTAAATTAGAATTTTGGCTGGAAACTTTTATATCCTCTAAAACAATACTGTCTGACAGAACTTTCTGCCAGATTGGGAATGTTCTGTGTTGTTCAGTACAATAGCCACTAGCCACATGTAGTTATTGAGCACTTGAGACCAACTGGCTGGTCTGATTGAAACACTGAATTTTAAAGTTTATTTAATATTAGTTAATTCAAATCTAAATTCAAATAGTCCCTTATGGCTGGTGGCTACTGCATCAGACAGCACAGCTCTTAAATATAAGCTCCATGAAGGCAGAGAATTTTATTTTTTTTCTATTTTGCTTATTGCTGAATTAATATTGCCTAGAACTTTGCCTGACAGGTAGTAGATACTTAGTACATGCTAGACAGATGAACAAATGAATGAAATAATATATGTGACTATGAAATATGTAAATGTTTGGGTCATATTAAAATAAAAATAAGTAAAACTTCTCTGAGGTCCATTTGTTCTCTTTCTTGTTCGTTTGCAGGTTCTGGGAAATGGCTTTTACATTCACTGGTCTCAAGCTGCAGGGATCACTGGGACGATTTGGCAAAACAGCCACTACTGATATAGAGGGCTACATGGAGCTCCCGGATGGGAAGGCAAGTACAGCCACTATTCTACAATAATAAAATTGTGTCTTTATATATGTATATGAAAACATACTACATTCTAGAAAGCTCTGCTGATATCAATAATAACAGATATTATAATTGTAAATGTAAGGAACATTTAATTTTACTTCTTCAGGTTATCAATTATAATTAAAATATTTCTCTGAAATTGTCATAATCCATATGTACATACTATTTTCTGTTTTCTTTTTACTAAGGATTATAAATATTAATATTTTATTAAATATTATCCACATATATAAAGTATGTGAACATTTTTATATATTACATAGTGACATACTTGTCATTCTTAATTATGTCACAGAATTGTAACATTTATATTAATATTACTTACTTTTCCCCTGTTTTTTCTTTGCCATAATGCTCCATGATGTTTACTGGGTCAAAGGTTACATACAGTCTTGTGGTTTTTGTTTTATTGTCAGATTATTATTCAGGTATTTTGAACCACTTTACAGTGGCATCTGCAACACTGCAACTTTAATCTGTTAGCTTATTCTTTAATATTGTTAGTTTATTTCTTCTCTTCCTCTTGCAAAATTTATAGGGATACTGCCTGCAACGATAGTTAATTTGAATCACTTCTCCATTAGTATGTTATTTGGTTTCCTGTTAAGGTGAGTTATATAGTATTATTTATGAGCATCTCAGTTAAAAGTAAATGCCCACATACAAATGTTATTCTAACTTTAAGGAACCAAATGGTCTAATCATCTACCTGATGAAATTCCTCAATTCAAACACACGGTATAAAGGAAGAAATAAAAAGCCTTGGATGCTGGCTAAACTATATATCCAAAGCTGTAAGACGATCTTAAAGCATTCCAGTTTCAAACTCTGAATATTATAAGAATTAAGCTAAGAAAAATATCAATACAATGTTTGTTAAAAACATAATATGAGATATATTTTTAAAAGGTTCAATAGAGTTTGCGGAGATGTAGGGGAGAAAGAAGCCATTTTAAATTTTAGAACTACAAAGGGAAATGTTTAGAATTAGGAATAAATTTTAGATTTTTAGAAGGCAGATTGGAATAAAACAATTATGTTGGCAAAGAGTGGAAAATTTAGGTTGAGAAATATGACAGGGTCCTAGTATACAAGGAGTATAACAGCCAGGAAGAACTATTTATATTGGAAGACTAGAATTGCAAATCAAAAAAGTAATAGATAAGTTTGGCCAAAAATGCCAGGTGGATGAGAGGAAGGGATATCTAGAGTCAAGGAGATGAGCTAGAGAGGAAGCTGTTGCTATCATTTAAAAAGAGACGATGAGGGCCTAGATGTCTCAGGACAAATGAAAAAGAAAAACTAGATGTGAGTGACATTTCAGAAAGGAATTTCATGTAGGTTTTGGTCACTATTGGTGGCTTGAGTCATTGGATAGAAGAAAATAAGTCTAAATAAAGACTCTACCACAAGTTGGCTGAGGCTTAATAACAGGTAATAATAGGTAAAATAGATAGTCTAGGTAAAAAATAGATAGATGTGTGAGGTATAAAGATGGAGTAATGTTATCAGTTACTCTAGCTGAGAGGGAAATGGGAATGCAGAACCCTAGAGCAGCAGGCTGGCAAAAATTAGTGTCCCAAAATGCATTTTATGAAACATCAGTCTGCACAGAAGCTCCATGAAAATAAGACTTTCCTAGTCAAATTCCTTTATATCTAGAAATTTCTCTTGGTGATTCCCGGCGAATATTGCCAATAAAAGTTTCCAGGGGTCCTAGAGAAAACAAACTTGTTTGATTTTGTTTATCCTAGCATCTACCTTCTGAGGTAGTATAGTCAAGAACAGGAGTTTTTTTTTTTCCAGCTGGGCACAGTGGCTCACGGCTGTAATCCTAGCACTCTGAGAGGCCGAGGTGGGAGGATCACTTGAGGTCAGGAGTTCAAGATGAGTCTGAGCACTGAGCAAGAATGAGACTCCTTCTTTACTAAAAAATAGAAAAAAAAATTAGCCGGGAAAATAAAAATAGGAAAAATTAGCTGGGCATGGTGGTGCATGCCTGTAGTCCCAGCTACTAGGGAGGCTGAGGCAGGGGGATCACTTGAGCCCAGGAGTTTCAGGTTGCTGTGAGGTAGGCTGACGCCACGGCACTCTAGCCCGGGCAACAGAGTGAGACTCTGTCTCAAAAAAAAAAAAAAGAATAGAAGTTTTTGAACCACAGTGCCCAGATTAGAATCCTGACTTCTCTGGGCAATTTGGGGCAAGTTATTTAACTGTTTTGTGCTTCAGCTTTCTGCTCTGTAATATAGGGATAATGATAGTCAAGATTACCATTGGTCCATATGGTTCCTTTGCAGGAATGAGAAAAAGCTACTTCTTCTGGGAAAATAAAGTATTCAACATGCACAACTGTACATGGTATCCCTCATAAATGTGCCTAGTTGACATGGTTTTTAGCATTGAATATATACGTAACTATACATATATGTAAAGTGCTCAAGCAGTGCTTGGCACAGAGTCAATGCTCAATGAGTATTATGTATTATGTGACACTTGTTAAACATCCTAGGAACTAATGTTTGGTGGTATGTACTCTGGGAAATTCTGGATTAAATATAGATTAATTTGAGGTGGTTCCAGATGACTATCCTTGTTTGACATTGGATATTGTTATGCTATAATCCGCTCGGTTGAGTATTAGCCTCACAATTTATCTGTCATCTTTTAAAATTTGATAGTATCATACTTAAAAAGTAGAATCTCATCTGTTAAGAACTTTAAGCATGTCTCTAACTTTTGACCCATTAATTCCTCTTCTGAATTATGACCTTAAAAGATATACAAAGAAATCTATTATATGTATACATGAAAAATTACCAGCAACTCACAACCTAATCATAATGATGTAAAATTGTACATAATACAAGAAAAAATACATCAAAGTGTGATTAGTGGTTGTTTCTGGGGTAGTAGGTTTTCATTTCTATATTTTCTTATTTTTGCATATTCAATTTTTTTATTTTCATGACCAAGAAAAATAGTCTTTAAAAAATAATTTTCACCTACTATTTGAGGCACAAATATATACATATTTCTGTTTTAATGTGCATGCCTTTCTTTCCATACACCTACCTGCCAGGTGCTCTCAGGATCGGAATGGGGCAACATGCTGCTCTGGGAAGGTGGTCTCATCAAAGCGGAGCTCTGTCGAGCTGGGAACAAGTCTTGTCACCATGGTGCCATCAACCAGATAATGCTGGATGAAGGTGAAGTTATTACTGTTGGGTCAGATGGATGTGTTAGGGTAAGTTTTCTTGATACTTGGACAGTAGCTCCTAAGTCTTAAGGCTTGCAAATTATCCAAATGGTTTTATCTGGTTTTTATTTTTCATTAAGGTCATTTTATGAAGATCAGTGATTATTTACTCCGAAGACCAATTCATTTAAAATAATTCTTCTTTTATCGTAAATACTTGCATTCTTGTCAAAATTAATTTACTACATCTTAGCACTGAAACTTTCTGAGGGGACATCTTGTTATTTTTATTCTGTTGTTGAAATAATAGCTTCAGAAAAGGAAAACCCATGTTAGCACAAGATGAACAGTGGACCCACATGTCTTTCCAAAATGCTTGGTATGAATGAATCATTTTCTGGGAGCAAAAGTGCCAAACATTTGTTAGTTATTTTTTCCTGGGGTTACCAATTAGAAATACACGCAGAGGTGAGCTGACGGGGTTTGCCTATGGATGCTGCCCTCTTGTTGCCTCTTATGTTGGGGACCTTGCCTGTTTTCCCTTGTGGACACTCTCCTGCCCAAAGCCTTGGCTAAGCTGGAACACTTCCAGTGTCTAAGTCCCCTTGGTTGCTGTTCTGTCACACTTCTCCCACCCACCCTGCCTGGCACCTTGTGTGACTGTGTATTCTGCTGTTGCAGCCTGATCTGTGGTCTTGAGATTTGCCCTGTAGTTCCCTTGGAAAATATTTCTATTGGGGCCTTTCATAAGAAAGTGGTGGTGTTCTCTTGACATTCTTTAAGAAGTATTATCAGGAATAAGATAGTATTTTTTAATAGTCTGATCACTCTGTTGACACCTATTGAGCTTACTATGTCTAATATATTGTTTAAGCTGTATCTCCCACAGTGGGTCCTCTTACCATTGGCTTTTTGAACTCAAGTGTAGGTTTTTGCACTTACAATATTAAATTTAATCTTTAGTTAGATTTCATGGATTGCTCTGAGACCTTTTGTGTTCTTTATTTTGTCATATACTATATTCACTATCCCTCCAAGATATATGTCATCCCAAAATATCCCAATGCCAAGTGGGAGAAAATTTCAAGAGAAAAGAAGTTAAATATTTCAGAGAGGATCCCTTCATGGACACCACTAATTTCTAAGCTTGCTTCCCTTTTCCAAGTGCACCCTCATCTCTTCAGTCCCTCACGTTGTAAGTTTCTACCTCTCACCCTTTAGGAAAAACCTATCCCCAACTTCTAGGGGTTAGTCTGATTCTAGGATCTGGCCTTCTTCCCACTGCCAGGCTAACCCATGGGACAGCAACAGTCTCCTGGGAGTTACTTTCCCAAAGTCTGAGTTACTCAGTGTCTCTAGGATAATACGGCAGGGTATATTATCCAGGGTGGCTTCGGCACTTCACCGGGGAAGTCCTTCTGAGTCTCCCAGTGAGGTGAAACTGAATTCCCTCATGCTTCCTGTAGTGTTCTGGACTCCTCTCCCAAGGAACAACAATCTTTATCTGAGTTAGTAACGTACAAATTGATATTAAGTAAGAGAAACATTTTCTAACATTTTCTAACGGAGACATTATCTGTATCTATTTTTTTCTGCTTATAATGAAGATAGTGCTTGAATCATTAATCAAAACTGTATATTTCCCCTTTCCAGGGGCCTACTGGTGTGTAGAAAACAAGACTCCTTATACTGTCTTGCTGAACAACTGAATCGTTTACTCCATATGGCCACCTTATATGAAGAAAAACCTAATAGAAACCTTGAAATAAAATTTATTTTGGGCAAATTAAAATTCTTATGCAAGGCTGTACTTTCTCACTAATTGCTATAAACACAAAGGAAACTATAATAATTTATTATGCCCCAGTTCAGATTAAAAAATTCCAGGGGTTGAGATTTTACTCTGTTGTAATTATGCCTACTCGTGTTAATTTTAATGGAACAAGAAGAATTGACTTTAAAAAAAATCAGAGCCTTTTCTGGCTTAGAAAATAGATATTCAGAAACTTCTGATTGATTAAAGCATTTTCTTATTACTTTTACAAGATATGGGATTTTGAGACAATAGATACTGCTGATGTTATAGATGAGACTGGATTGTTACAGATCGAGCCTATTAATGAACTTCAAGTAGACAAGAATGTCAAACTCTTTTCTATGGTAAAAATGAATGAAACTGGAAGTAACTTTTGGTTGGCTCAGGTATGTTACATTCTTTTCTCTTGTTTCCTTAAAGTTACCTGGACATAAAATTAAAATAGTAGTATAATTGATTTTCTGGACTGAAAGTCCATTTGACTACAAGTATTATGAGATTGCTTTGCTTACTGTATGGTTGTCTTCTAAAATATATAGAAGTTGCTTTTATTAAACTTTAATCACACTCTAAAATAGATGTAAGCTTTTGATATTGCTTATTGCTACTTTAATAAATCATAGGAAGAACATTTTTTTAATTTGATGAAAGTTCAAAATGATAGAACAAAATACTATTAGGTTTTTATTTTTTAGGATGCCAATGGAGCCATATGGAAGCTTGACCTTAGTTTTTCAAATATTGTAAGTTACCTATTATTCTTATTTTTTCTTTACTTTTATAGTAAAAACCTTTGTTATTCTTTCAAGGATACTTTATCTTTCTTCATATTTGATCATTGTTCCTATTGAAAACTTGCTCAACATATGCTAATCCTGAGAGTTCACTCTCTTGTTATAATTTTACATTAAAAAAGATGTATCTCATAGTAAAAGTTATAAGTGGCAATGACAACACCTAACATGATACAGTGCTTTATGGTTTTCATAAATATATGGAATTTTCATTTATATTATCTTACATGATTCTCACTGCTACCCTGTTTAGTAGGGAGGCAGCTGTCATCATCTTATTTTACAGATGAAGAAATGGAAACTAGCATTTGAGGTGACTTGAGCAGAATCACATAGCCATTAAGTTCAAAGCCAGGACTCCATGGTTCTCCTAACCCAAAGTCCATATTCTTTTCTAACCTTTTATGCTTTTTCATATTTTTATTCAAATAAAATTGCACATGTGTCATAGGGTTCTACTTGCATTTTTAAAAACTTGACCTTAATTCTATGTTACCCTGTCTTTGAAATCTAGTAAGCTGTCTGTCTGTTCTCAGACCCAGGATCCAGAATGCCTCTTCTCCTTCCATTCTGGAGCTATCCAAGATTTAGCTGTTTCTCCTATCACTTATCTCATGGCCACGACTGCCTTGGACTGTAAGTAGGAACTCAATGAAAATATATCTGGCCTTGTTTTGTTTTCAGTATGATTTTTATATGTATTTAAAAACATTTGAGGATTTTTCCAAAAAAGAAACCTCTCGAATGCAAGTGAGGTGAGTTGTTGCAGAGCGGAGAGGCACAAAATGCAGCAGCCATGGTTATTGTGAGAGATTAAAATAAGGACACAATCTGTAAGTTGTTCATGAAAATACTATTTGTTTCGTTATTATCCACATTTGTGCTTTTCCTATTTTTTCAATCTCCTTTCTTCCTTAATTTCTGGCAAATCTATATGGACTATGCAAGGTAAAATTGATCCACCAGTTAATCATCAGTTCTCTTCTTTATTATGACTGTTTACAAATTATCTGTTTAAGATTATATGTAGAAATTTTTGACTAAAGCGTATTGGATTATTAACAGATTTAGTTATTTATGAAATTTTTTATTATAATATTCAATATGTAAAAAGTAAGCCAAGATTATTTTAAAAAATATTATGTATATAATGTTTTTCTTTTAAAACTTTCTATAGGCTCTGTTCGTATTTATGATTTTGCTAGCAAAACTGCTTTGGCTCAGATGAAATTCAAACAAGGAGGTACTGCCCTTGCTTGGGTCCCCCGAATGGTACGTTTGTTGTTTTAATGAACTTCTGAAGAATCTATTGGTAAATATGGTATAGCAACACTATTTCTTGGACTTATATATATTTTCTGACTTGAAATTTTAGGGAAGAATAAAAATTCTAAGTTAGTTTATTTTACTGAGAACATGATAGAAATCATAGCATGACCATTGTTATGGGCTTAGTTCTGATTTTAATGAAAATTCTATTTTATGCAACCTGTAGATTAAGGGTAGCTCCATGTTGCAAAGTAATTACCCCATATTAGTTTATGTATTATATCTATCCTCCATCTATCTGACTCCAATTTCATTCATCCTATTAATATTTCCAGAGTGCCTTCAATGTGCCAGGCCTTGCTCTAGATTCTGGCAATATAGCAGTGAACAAAAAGACAAATATAATTGCCCGCATGGACCTTTCATTTTAGTGAGAGGGAGGCAGAGACAGATAGTAAACAAATATATATGTGTTATGTTAGGTAATGACAAGAGCTATAGAAAAAAATTAGGTGGAAATGGGAAGTTGTTCTAGTTGTCTATTGCTGTGTGATAACCTATCCTAAAATGTAGTGGCATAAAATAGCAATCATTTTATCTTTTATTTTATTTTTTTATTTCAGTATATTACAGGAGTACAAATCTTTAGGTTACATATATTGCCTTTGCCCCACCCGA